GATTGCATTGTCATCCTGTACAAATATACTAGATGTAGAAAAAAGAAAATAGAATGTTGACATAGAAACCAACACAGAAATGACAGTTGATAGAACTATCAAAGACTTTAAAATGTTATAAAATTACCCAAATATTAAAACCATGAAGGCAGTGGTGAGAGAAAAATTTAAAAAATTCTAGCCAAGAAAAATACAATATTTTATATGAATAATTCACTAGGGCATGCATATTGAGAATAATATTATATATTAAAAATTATATATTACATATTAAGATTACATATTAAGATCAGTGAATTTAAAACAAAAGAAACTGCAAATGGGAGAAAAGTCTGAAGAGTCAATAATATCATCAGTGACCTGTGAGATGCCATTATAACACATAATTTGCAAGAATAAAAGTACATATATATGTTTTATATAGAGCTGGGAATGGAGGTGTTTATCTGTAATTTCAGCACTTGAGAGGCTGAGGCAGGAGGATTGTTGTAAATTCTAGTCCAGCCTGGACTTCAAAGTGAGCCTGAACTGTATAGCAAGACCCTGTCTAAAAAAAAAAAAAAAAAAAAAAAATATATATATATATATATATATATATATATATATATATATATATAATTTACAAGTAGAATCTCAGAGTAGGAGATAGTATGGAAAGTATTTGAAAACAGTGACAAAAATTGTTTTCAAATCAAACTACATCGAAAATCTATCTTATCCAGTAAAGAATAAAAAAAAAAATCTTAACACAAACACCAATCAGTGGTACTTGGGTAAATGAATTGAACAGACACTTCTAAAAAGTACAAATGGCCAATAAGCACAGGGAAAAATGTTCAACATCTTTAGTCATCAGGGTAATGCAAATCAAAACTACGCTGAGATTGCATCTCACGTGAGTCAGACTGTGTTTATTAAGAATACAGAAAGCAACTGGGTGTGGTGGTGCACTCCTGTAATCCCAGCACTCGGGAGGCTGAGGCAGGCGGATTGTGGCAAGTTCAAGACCAGTCTGGGCTACAAAGTGAGCCCAAGGCCAACCTGAACTGCATAGTGAGACCCTGTCTCAAACAAACAAACAAAAAAGAATACAGAAAACATTAAATGCTGGCAAGGATGCAGGGAAAAGGAGCTGTTCTATATTGCTGGTGGGATGTGAATTAGTATAGTCACTGTGGAGATCAGTATGGAGGTTCCACAGAGAACTAAAAATAGAGCGCCCATGATCTAGCTACACCACTCCTTGATATATTCCCAAAAGAATTAATGTCAGCATCCTGTAGAGCAGTGATGGCAAACCTTATGGGGCTTTCAATGATACCAAACAGAGCACTGTGGCACGTGTGCCGTGCTACTGCTATAGAGATACAGCATACCAATATTTCTTGCAGCACAATCCACAGTAGGCAAGATATTAAACAGCCTAGGTGCCTGTCGACAGATGAGTGGATAAAGAAAATGTAATTATGTATATGCACAGTGCAGTATTGTTTAACCATAAAGAACAAAATTTGCAGGGAGAGGATAAAAATAGAGACCACCATGTTAAATGAAATAAGCCAGACTCGGAAGTCAAGTGTCATGTGCTTTCTCTCATATGTGGAATGTAAAGGATATGTTAATTTTAAGAAGCAACGACAGCCAAGTAGAAGGGAGACTGTTAGGTGAGAGGAAGGACATGGGGAAAGGGAAGAAAATGTTGGTTATGGAGGGGGAAATCCAAAGTACTTGACAATGTGTGTGCGAATATAAAACAAAACTCAATATCCTCTGTAACTCATATGCACTAACAACACTTTTTAAAACTATGGAATTCTAAGATTAGAAATATGTTTGGAATATTCAAAACTTTTCTCAAATTCAGGCATGATGGTACAGGCCTATAATCCCAGCACTCAGGAGGCCAAAGCAGGGTAGTCACTGCAAATCAAGTCCAGACTGGGCTGCTTAATGAGTTCAAGGCCAGCCTGAACTACATAGTAAGACCCAGTCTCAAAAAACTAAAAAAAAAAAAAATTAGATAAAATTTACATGCCATGCAACTCATTTAAGTATCTAATTGATTTATTTTTAATTGATAAACTTATACTTAGTCAAAAAGTATGAGAAGATGATCAACAGTAGATTTGCAGGCATGAAAGACATCACATTCAAACTCGGAAGAAGCAGGGTAAAAGTATATGTTTAGAAAAAGAGAAAAGTTTTGCATCATTTCTGACTCTTAAGAGCCAGTTAATATACACAGTCCATCAAAAAAAAATGTATACACACTTCAGGAAAAGAAAACCTTTTAAAAATGTTTTAATACTAAATTTATTGAGACATGAAATTAATACAAATAATCTTTGGCCTCTACAATTACAGGAGATACTCAGACTGGTGACTTTCAGATATTTATTAGTACAGCCAGCTGCGGCTTGGATAGCCTTGGTCATTGAGATTGTTGCACATGCAATTTCTTCTCTAAGGTCCAGCAACATAGTGGGTTTTCTGCGAAATATGACATCGTCTAGGGTCCCCCATATGAGAATAACATCATCATACTATTTTCTTTTTCCTGAAGTGTGTATACATTTTTTGGCAGACTGTATTTTTAAAACTGATAATGCTAAGTATCTATTATTGTGGCATTTAGATTTTATTGGATTATTTGAGAAAGTAATGTTTTATTTCAAAATGTCAAGACTTACATTGGAAATTACATTTTTTCACAACTGCTTAAACCTAAGATGAGTCATACATGCCAATTGAAAAATGCACAAGTGGGAACAAATGTGCAGGTCTTTCTTAAAGGGAAACGCTGGGATGGATTGCTTTGTGAAGGATGAGGGCCATTACTAGAATTTTTTCAGTTGTTCATATTGATATACGTTTAGAATGTTTATTTGACTCATGCCTTTGTTTTCCCAGGCTATCGTAATAAGAAATGCAGTGAAGCAGAAATTGATCCACACTTTACAATTTCATCTGTTTAAAGATTGCTAAACACTACCCAAAACAAAAATGTGTTTATAGAAACTATATGGATAGATTTGTGTAGCACTTTGTATTTATTCTTTATTGGTAAAAGGGAAACAAATGTACTTGCATGAAACAAAGTTACTTCTACTGTTAACACTTACAGCCTTTTTTTTTTTTTTTTGTGGTGCTAGTATTCAAACTCAGGATCTCGCCTTCCTGCCTCAGCCTCTTGTATAACTGGAATTACAAGCATGAGCCACCATGTGTGGCTTAAGTGGTTCTATTCTAATGTCACCTTTTACTTCCTATTAATCCTTTCAACTAATTACATAATTCTATCATTCATCTGTGTTTCTATTACTCCTCAGAAAAGAGATGTTTTAGCTACTTTTCTTGTTGCTGAAATACCCAACACCTAAAGTTAAAGAAGGAAAAATTTATTTGGCTCACAATGTGTAAAATGTTCCAGTCTCTAATCAGCTGGCTCCAAGGCAAAGTGGTTTGGCAAGGGCCGTCAAAAAAGAGAACAGTTAATGGTACTCACAAGATAGCAAAAGCAACTGGGGAAGAGAGACAAGACTCTCTCTTATATTGTAATCAGGCTACCCACCCTAGGGCAGGTACAGCACTCACACCCTTAGTCCTAGCCAGAACTGCGCCAAACCAATTAGTGGACTGATTTAGTAATCACATGTCCTTAATCCCAGCATCGCATACTAGATTCAGCCACCTTTGAAAAAGCCCCATCTAAGACTGCATGAAGCTTTAGGGGACATCTAGACACAAGCCATACCAAGAGGTAAGTTTATTCCCTGGCCTGTTGAAAAAAAGACCTGGCAGGTGGCAGGTCTCTGTAATGATCACAGTGGTTCCCACCCCTTGGCACAGTGTGCTGCAGGCAGGACTGCACTAAATTCTCTAGTGGTCATTGGAACCTAGAAGACCTGATTGTGCTGGCAGTCTGATCTCCACTTTTGGCTTTCATAACTCACAAGTGTTTATTCCATTATCTATGATAGTTTATTATAGCAGCCCAAACTGAGTAAGATACTATACTCATGAGAAGTTGATTTCTTTTTGTTGTTGTTATGTGTTTGTTTATTTTTTGAGATGGGGTCTTGTTATGTAGTCCAGAGGTCCTTTAATTCACTACATAACCCAGGCTAGCCTCAAACTCACAGTGCTTCTCCTGGCTTAGCCGCCCAAGTGCTGGGATTACAGGCACCATACCTGACTCTACAGAATTTTGTCAGGATAGAATTTTTAAGAAGATATGAGTATATTTTGTATTAAAAGAAGTTTCCTTGTTCTTTGGATAGGAAAAAAGAAATTCTAAATTCAACCTCAGTTAGCTTGACTCCCTACTCTACTTTTGAAAAGTCAGCAAAACCTCTGCTGATATAGAGTGGTATCCAGCATCCTTTGTATGCTTGCTTGCTTCTGGCTAGTTATATAAAAACAACAACTAAGAAGAAGAATTTCAGATATTAAAAATATAGAAAGGCTATTTAATAAAGGTCCACAAACTTATCCCCTGCTTAGGAACTAGTCATAGCACCCTCTCTCCACCTTACACACCTCCACTGCTAAGTGCCAGCCCAAAAATTGATGTAAGCACTCTGCTGCATTTGTGTGTGTGTGTGCTTTTCCCTTTTTATCTACCAGAGTGATCTGTAGGAACATGTACATATTTCACAACTTCATAGAAATAGAATGCTATTGAATGTATATTTTTTTTTTGCTTTTTTCAAAGTGAAGATTTTTTTCAGTTGTTCATATTGATATACGTAATTCTAGTTCATACATTTTCATTGTTAGATCCCAGTATGATTTTTGTCCTCTGTTGATGGACAATTTGTTGTTTTGCTTTTACAAATGTTGAGCATGACCACTCATCCCGGTAATCCCAGCACATGGGAGGTTGAGGCAGGAAAATCACTACAAATTTAAGGCCAGCCTGGATTACACAATGAATTCAAGGGCAGCTCCGACTACATAGGGAGACCCTGTCTCAAAAAACAAAAAGTGACAAAAAGTGCTTTGCATGTGCTAAATTTGTATTGAAGGAATGCGCATCTTGGTAACTTGTCTACAAGGCAAACATGTTACCCTTTCGTATCACTTCTTTAGCATTCATCATCCAACCATTGTTCAGCATTGGTGCACAGAACAGATAGAATCCTAGACAGTGCCCTGTTCAGGGCTGTCATTCCCCTGCAGTTCCCAGGTCCCATGCATTGGCTCTCCATTGTCGAACCTCTCTCTCTTGGGATTAAGCCAGGTCCTTTCCCTCCACTCTCAATGCCTGGTTGCCTGTGATTTTTGTCCTTTCACTCCATCTTCTTGGAGATCACCATGGCCTTCATAAGTGCGTGGTCAAAGATGGGGTTTTGCCTGGGTTGTCTCTGGCACTTTCTTACTAAACAGGGTGGTGTGAGCAGCTCCTCCAGGGTGAATATATATATTCACCATCTGAGCATTTGTGACCTGATGGTCATTTGAGTCACTTGTGGCTCTTGTGTTCAGTCAGCACACTCAAAGGTCACATTATTTTGGGGAGGAAATTCTGTGATTATCCAGAAACTGTTCCTTTGATTTGTTGGGCGCCCTCTCACCTTCCTCCCGCCACCCCCACATGACACCTAATTCCCTGGCTAGGACCAGTGCTGTCTTTTTGATTTTCCCTGTACTTCTTTGTTTTAGTCTCTTTTAGTGTCTCTTTTGCCTGCCTGAAGTAGCTAAGGAGGAGGAGGCTTTGTTCCTCTTCGGCAGGAGAAGGAGGAATGCATTGGGGCAAGTGATGGTTTCTTTCATTTTGCAGCTCTACGGTGTGATAGGCGCTGTGGTGGCAACTTGCGGAAGATTTCTTGCCATTCTTCACGTGGCTGTTGTGGGGGCTAAGGCCATCAGCGTGACTTTGTGGCTTCCTTCACTTCTTTCGCCTTCTGGCTTTCCTGATGGCCAGCAGGGGCTTTTACTTGCCCAGCTCTTCCAGGGGCCAGGTCAGCCAGCATCTGCTCCCTCTCAACTCTCTCTTCTCCAATAGACACCAATACTTTGCTGATTTGCTCATTTCCTAGTGAGCGACTAGTTACTTTTCCAACCAAGAAGTCAAGTCAGTAATGACTCAGGATGTGTTCTAAGTTTATAAAATAGTGTATTTCTTGATACTTCCTTGTAATTTGGAACACTAAAAAACAAAACAAAAAAAACCCCAAACAAACATCAAAAACCTTTCCAATCTGTACCGCCACCCCCAACACACACAAAAAGGGAAACCAACCCTTGGTAATGGAGGCATCACTACTCTTTTTTAAATGTTTTCATTTACTATATCTGTAATTGTTGTAAGTTTATCTTCCTCTATACCAGAATTCTGACAGAGGGCAATTAGTTTTAGACTAAGTGAAGAAAGGTAGGAAGGCTGCTTTAATTTTTCCCAAATCTGACTTGAGGGAAAATTCATGCATCCTTCTAGCTTATGAAACAGGCGTCGGATCTTTATTAAACTGGCCAGCAGCAGAAGGTCCTCTCCACTCAGGTACCACAGGACCGGGATCTTCTCGTGGGTCAGCTGCACCTCAAAGAGGAAGGGAAGGGAAGCTCAGAGTCAGCGCTGGGGAGTGGCACGCGTATATAACACGGCTGAACTGCTTCTATTTCCTCTACCTCTTCCCTTCTCCCTCTCTCCATCTCATGGTTTGCAAAAGAGCTAGCTCCATGTTTCCTATTATTTGTCTTTTGTTTTGCTCTTTAAATCATTTGCACTTTGGGTTTTTCATATGAGAGAAACTGCAATATGTAACCTTGTGTGTCTGATTTATTTCACTTAACATTATGGCCTCAGGGTATATCAACTTTCCTGTAAACGACTCAAATTCATCTTTATTGCAGAGTAGAACTCTACAATGGATAAATAGCACATTTTCATTACCCACTCGTTTTTTTTTTTTTTTAAGAGACATAAGAAGGATTTACTAGAGGTAGATATAGGGGCTTAGGGGTTTAGCTCAGCAGCACAAGTGCCTGCTTGGCAAGCGCCAGGTTCTAAGTTTGGGATCCCTGCTACCAAAAAAATGAGAAGAGGTAGATATAGCATGCACTGAAGAGCTGAGTGAGGGTACTCAGAGAAATGAAGCACCTACATTCTGTTTTTGAGAGACTTCCAAGAATTAGCTATTATGAATTGTGCTGCTATAAACATGGATATGAATATATCACTGTGATATGTCTTTAACTCTTTGAAATAAATACTAATAAAAACTAAAAATTAAAAAAAAACTGTGAGGCGGGAGAAAGGTAAACAGGAAGATAGGGAGACAAAAAAAGAGTATAGGTGCTGGGGATTTAGCTCAGCGGCATAAGCGCCTGCCTTGCAAGCAGGCAGTTATGAGTTTGATCCCTGGTACCAGTAAAAAGGAAAAAGACAAAAAAAAAAAAAAAAAAAAAAAAAAAAAAAAAAAAAAGAGTATAGCATATGTATTTACCAAAAGGAGATTATACTATAAACTTCTAACCTAGAAAAAAGACTCAGTTTTGTCTGATGCCTAAACACCTGCTGATAGTAGGTAGACTGACTGAAAGTAGCGAGGATTAGTGCTTAGCAAATTGTAGGTTCTCACTTTGTGTTGTCTGACTCCTTTTTGTTTGATATCCATTGGATATTCTGCCTGTGTGGAATACTGAGGTCATATTTCCACATGCTTAAAAATACAGGCTTCTAGAAAATGAATATACCAGTGAAGTTTGCAAGAAACTCTTCCTTTAAAAATCGATCAAATGAAGGTCCTCAGAGGCAAGGGAACTTCTTTTTTTTTAATTTTATTTAAAAGGAAAAAGAGAAAAAACAAAACAAAACAAGTGTAAGGGTACAAGTAATACAAAACTACAAAAAAAAAAAAAAAAACAAACCAGTAAGAAATCACCGGTTAATAGATGACATATTATCATCTTAGAGATAGTTGCTCAAATCACAGTATCAAAGCATACAAAGTGGACACTCAGACAGTGAGACTGCAAACAGTTGTGTTCAATGATCCAACCAAAAACATTAATATGGTCAGCTATTTAATACCCCTAAACACTGTTGCTGTTGTACCATTTAGAACTCTTTTTTTTCCCTCTCTTTTTTACAACAAAATTTACACATTTTGGGTTTTATTACTCCTTAGTTCTTATTACTTTTGGGGGGGGAGAGAATAAAGTCAAATATGGCAAAACAAAGCTGTCAGTCAAACCAAGGATAGACATAGCAAATGATGTAAAACAGAGTACAAGGTTATCAACAATGGTTATCAACAATGTCTCTTGTTTCCTTAAAAAGAATTGTCTATCTCATTATATATTATAAAGTTGAACAAAACAGTAGAGAACAAGACCAATAAAACTTAAGCATTGTAAACATTACAGGACTTCCAAAGGAGACAATAGTCAAACCAGAATGGGCATCTTAGTGAATCTTATTGCCTTCAAAGTAGTTGCCTATATCCTCAAACTTGATACTATCATACAGAATGGAACAGAGTCTAATCAGTCAAAACAAGATAGTGGGAGTATTACAGGACTTCAAAACAAGTTAATAGGAAATCAAAAAAGTTACTATTATATACCCTGCTAATTTTTTTAAAATTTTTCCTCTTAATTAAAAAAAACATAAAAAATAACTAAATAATTTTTTAATGAATAAGGCAGAGATTGAGATAAAACAGGACATAACAATATAACAATACAGGTGAAAGCATGACTGTTTCAGCAACCTAGTGGTTCACCACCAAATAACCCGACTTAATAGTAGTTACCATAGTGTCTGTCTTTTTCCTTGAAATATTTGAATAAAACTTCATATACTATAGCTTCAAGTTATTTCCATATCAAGAAGCCCAGAATAAAGCCTTTCCGATTAATAAGTGAAAACTTTATAAGGCTTCAAGGCCACATAATGGGGAATCATGATTACCACATATTTTTATATATTTGAATCATTACTTACATTAGGGAAACTATTCGGTATTCATACATGTGAGATTGATTTATTTCACTTATGAGTATGGTCTCAAGCTGCGCCCATTTATTGATAAATATCTCAATGTGATCCTTCTTTATAGCTGAATAATACTCCATTGTATAGAAATACCACAACTTTTTTATCCATTCCTCAGTTGATGGACACTTGGGTTGTTTCCAAGATCTGGCGATTACAAATTGTGCTGCTATAAACATAGGTGCACATATATCACTGTGGTATGATGCTTTCAGTTCTTCTGGGAATATGCCTAGAAGTGGAATAGCTGGAATAAATGGGACTTCCAATCCCAGCTTTTTGAGAAATCTCCAGACTGACCTCCACAAAGGCTGCACCAGTCTACACTCCCACCAACAGTGTAGGAGAATTCCTTTTTCCCCACAGCCTCTCCAGCATTTGTTGTTGTTGGTTTTCTTGATCCTGGCCATTCTTTCAGGAGTGAGATGGTATCTCAGTGTGATTTTAATTTGCATTTCTCTAATGATTAATGATGATGAACATTTTTTCCTGTATTTATTTGACATTTGCATTTCTTCATCTGAGAAGTGCGTATTCATCTCAGATGCCCATTTTTGGATTGGATCTTTGAATTTTGGGGATCTGAGTTTTTTAATTCTTTATATGTTTTAGACAAGAGTCCCTTGTCTGAGAGAGTTCACTAAAATCTTTTCCCAGTTTGTGGGTTTTCTTTTTACCATGCTGGAGATTTGTTTTGACATGCAGAAACTTTTTAATAAGAAGTGGTCCCAGCTATTGATTCTGGGAAGTATTTCCCGTGCGGTTTGAGTCCTGTTCATGAATTCTCTACCTACTCCTATGTCTTCAAGGTTTCTACCCAATTTGTCTTTCAATAGATTTAGTGTTTCTGTTTTAATATTCAGATCTTTGACCCATTTAGATTTTAATTTAGTACACGGTGATAGACATGGGTCTAGCTTTAGTTTTCAGCAAATGGAGAGCCAGTTTTTCCAGCACCATTTATTAAAGAGACTGTCGTTCTTCCAGTGAACCTGCTTGGCTCCTTTATCAAAGATAAAGTGGTTGAGTGTGTTTGTAGTTGTGGTTGTATCTTCTAATCTATTCCATTGATCTTTGGCTCTGTTTTGATTCCAATACCATGTTGATTTTACTACTGTTGCTTTGTAGTGTAACTTCAAGTCAGGGATTGTGATGCCTCCTGCTTTGTCTTTGCTGCTTAGAATTGCCTTTGCTATTCTAGGTCTCTTCTGGTTCCAGATGAAATTTAGGAGTGATTTCTCTAGATCTATAAGGTATGTTGCTGGTATTTTTATTGGGATTGCATTGAATCTATATAACAGTTTTGGGAGAATGGCCATTTTCACAATGTTTGTTCTTCCTATCTATGAGGAAACGGGATGTCTTTCCATTTTCTGAGATCATCTTCAATTTCTTTTTTCAGTGTATTATAATTTTTACTGTATAGGTTTTTCACTTCTTTCATAAGAGTAATTCCTAAATATTTCATTTTTTTGCTTGTAGTGTGAAGAGTGTGGTTCCTCTTATTTCCCTCTCCATGATTTTGTTGTTAGTGTATAGGAATGCTATTGATTTCTGAGTATTGATTTTGTATCCAGCTACATTACTGAATTTATAAGTGTCTTTCAATGGAGTTTAGGGTGTCTTCTATATAGAGTATCATGTCATCTGCAAGCAATGGTAATTTAACTTCTTTTCCTATCTTTACCCCTTTTATTTCTCTCTCTTTTCTAATTGCTCTGGCTAGTACTTCCAGTACTATATTAAATAGGAGTGGTGATAAAGGACATCTGTGTCTTGTGCCTGATTTTAAAGTAAAGGTTTTCAATTTTTGGCCATTTAGTATGATGCTGGCTGCAGATTTGTCATAAATGGCCTTTATTATATTTGACGTAAAGACCATCTATTCCAATTTTCTATAAAGTTCTTATCATGAATGAATGTTGGGCCTTATCGAAGGCTTTTTCTGCATCTATAGAAATGATCATGTGATTCTTACTTTTGGCTTTATTGATATGGCGATTACATTTATTGATTTATGTATGTTGAACCATCCCTGCATTCCTGGGATGAATCCCACTTGTTCATGGTGTATAATCTTCTTGATGAATGCTGCATCCTATTTGCCAATATTTTATTGAGGATTTTTGCATCTGTGTTCATTAGGGAGATCAGTCTATACTTCTCTTTTTTAGTTGGGTCTTTCTCAGGTTTTGGTACTAGAGTAATATTTGCTTCCAGGAATGTCTTAGGAAGGATTGCTTTCCTTTCAATTTCATTGAATAGCTTAAGGAGTGTAGGCATTAGGTCTTCTTTGTATTTCTTGTAGAATTCTGCAGTGAATCCATCTGGGCCTGGGCTCTTCTTGGTGGGTAAGGACTTAATTACATTTTCAATTTCACTAACAGAGATTGGGTTATTCAACAGTTTTACATCCTCATGATCTAGCTTTGGTACTTCATATGTTTCTAAGAATCTGTCTATTTCTTCTGTGTTATCAAACTTTTGAGAGTAGAGGTTTTCGAAATAGATGTTGATGATCTTCTGTATTTCTATTGGGT